AAGGGGAACCATGGATCCTCTGCTCACGACTGCAGCAGATCCCTCCGCCATCCGTAGGCATTCGCTCCATAACACGCACAGACATTTCCCATTACTTTCTAGGAGGAAAAAAGTGAGTGTTATGGTGCAAAAAATATGGTAATTTGCTCTCCCACTGCCACAACCAAAGAGCTATAGAGTATTTTATTTCTTCTCTGAAGTATCTTATATAATGCTGTGCGTATATGAAGCTTTGCAAGAGTTCATCTCCCAGATCAAGCATATTAAGCTTTGCAAGAGCGAATCTGCCAGGTCAAGCAATAACAAAATTTGTGAATAGTGGCTACATTCACACCATACTACTTCAAACAGTCACAGCCACGGAGCTACAATTCTCAGAGTTCCCCTGGGAAGGGGGATTGATTCTGCAAATTATAGCTCTGTGAGGGGTATAGGGGTCGCATATCAGCTCTCACCACCCTTTCCAAACTACAGCTCCTAGGACTATTTGGGAGAAGCCATGATGGTTTAAAGTGCTTTCATAGTACATTAAATATATGGTGTGAATGTGGCCAGTTACATAAGCAAACTTAACTACAGCTCCACAATAAATAAATAACACATACATTCAAGCCAGCTTCAAAACAAAACAGAGAGAAATATAAAACTTACAGGTCTTTCCAGCGCTATTTTTCTACAAAAAGGTGTCAGAACTCACCATTAATGCCTCCCTTGTTGTCTTATAAGAGGTGCTGGAACTGAGTTCTGGTGAGTAGTTGAAAAAAAGCCCTGGGTCTTTTTAAAAGGCAAGATGAAAACATCACACCCACTGAAGGAGGCTTTTGGCTGACCCCTAAAGATAAGTACAGTGGTACCTCGATTTTCGAGTGTCTTGGAAGCTGAACATTTCAGTTTTTGAACGCCGAAAAGCCGGAAGGAATTGCTTCCGTTTTCAAACGCGCCTCAGAAGTCAAATGGCTTCCACTGCGTGTTTTTTCATTTTTCCAATTGAATTTGCAGCCGGCCCTTTGCACCTTGGTTTTTGAACGTTTCGGAAGTCGAATGGTCTTCTGGAACAGATTACATTCGAGAGCCGAGTTACCACTGTAATGATGTTGCCACACATATCTCTCTGGGGAGAACATTCCATAGTCAGGCAAGTCTCCCCAGGGAGAACATTCCACAAGCAGGGAGCCACCCCTGAAAAGGCCCGTTCTCATGTTGCCACCCTCTAGAGGGGGCACAGGGAGAAGGGCCTCAGAAAACAATCACAGGGTCTGAGCTGGGTCACATGATGAAGAGTTCTGGAGAACTTGAAAGCTTGCACACCCTTTGGCAATATTTTAGCTGGCCGGGTAAAGGTTTTGCCCTTATATGGATGTTGGAAATTCTATTCTGGGCAAAAGCAGCTACCTGGGCTTTCTGTCTGACTGCCCTTGCTCCTGATCCCAGCCGTGTGAGCGACTTCTCTGCTCCATGTGTGTGGTTTTGGCTGGTTCAGCGTGACTGGAGGTTCCTCCTCCTTGAATTGTTCTCTTCAACTCCAATGAAAACACTTCTCTCTCTTTTTTACTCCTCCTAACGTGCCGCAGTCCTGCCTCGCATTCCAAGGGCAACAAATTAGAGCATTTGCAAAAGCTGGAAAGATGCTTTCAATGCTGGGACAAGCATTGCTTTAAAAAGCCTCACGTGGACTCTAGGCTTTGTTGGAAAGCATTTTGTAAGGGCTGCTGTCATTTTCTTCTTCTTAATTTGCAGGCAACTTCAGTTGGGAAAGGAGCCTAGAAACCTCCACCCTACTGCTGCATTTAGGATGATTCAAAGGCAACTCATTCTGTATAACAGTGAGCTAGAGGGCAACACAGTGGAAGAACGTGGGTACAAACCACTAGGGGAGACTTCCCCCACCCTGGCACTGTTTTGGACCGCAACTCCCATGCTGGCTGGGGCTGATGGGAGCTGAAGTCCAAAACATCTGGGCAGCACCATGAATGGGGGAGCCTGCACCAGAAAGTTCTCAAGGTAAGACCCACTGAAGAAAAGACTGAGAGGTGATCAGATAGCCACCTGCAAATTCCTGTCACATGGAAGGTGCAACAAGCTTGTTTTCTGGTGCTCCAGAGGGCAGGACCCGAACCGATGAATTCAAATTACAAGAAAGGGATTCCTTCATTGCAGGTTTTTAAACAGGGTTTGAATGGCCATCTGTCAAGGCTTCTTTAGCTGTGATTCCTGCACTGCAGGGAGTTGGCCTTTCTCAACCTGTGGGTCCCCAGATGTTTATGAACTACAACTCCCATCACCCCTAGCTAGCAAAGCCAGAGCTCAGGGATAATGGGAGTTGTAGTCCAACAGCATCTGGGGACCCACAGGTTGAGAACCGCTGGCCTAGATGATCCTTTGGATTCCTTCCAACTCTACAATTCTACGAAATAAATGGGAGGCACAGGATATGCAGCTCTTATTGATTTCACTTGTATAGGGAGCACTTTTGGGTGGACTGTGCCCTTTCGTGCCCAAAGAGAGCCCTGCTGGATAATGCCAATGGCCCAACTAGGCCAGCATCCTGTTCTTGCAGTGGCCAACCAGATGCCTGGAGAAACCTGCAAGCAGGTCCTGAGCACCACCACTCTCTCCTGACTTGTGATTCCTAGCAACTAGCAGTGAGAGACAATACTGCCTCAGACATTGGAGCTTGTACACAGGCATCATGCCTAGAGCCATTGAGAGCCTCATTCTCCATGACTTTGCCTAACACCCTTCTAAAGCCATCCAAAATAAACCTGCTTTTAAACCTTGTTTTGCCAAGGCAGGACAGCTGCTTTGAAAGCTTTATTGGGGAGGGGGGACAGATTTTCCCCAGCTCTGTTTCAAGTTGGATGCCCTAAAGGAGGAATCTCTTGGTTTTATGGCAGGGGTATATAAGGCATGCCTTGACCACCTGCAAGGGTGAATCTGTCAATTTAAGTTTCTCTGTTTCTAATTTTTCCAATCCTAAATTCATTTCTTCACATTTACACATCAGTTTGTGTTTTTGTGTGTGTGTTTCTTTAAGGAAAAGTCCTTTTAGTCCACCTGCAACTTTTCCCTAATATGCACATCTTTTATGCAATTTTGCCTAACTTTTTTTTTTTTTGCAAGCAATTACCCCAACTATTGTGCTTTTTTGTAGTTTAACTAGTCTGCGCTTTTTGAAACACATTTTTTGTACTAACCATCTTGACCAGCAATTAGCTGGTGAGGCCTTGTGGTGATTCCACTATCAGGGACAGAGACCCATGAAACATAGGGCATGTCATTTTAGGGGTTGAAATTTTGTGCAATGTTACACACAATTTACTTACCAAGCAAACCTGAATTATATTAATTTAAGCAAAATATCCTTTGAATTTGAGAGTCAGCATGGTGTAGTGGTTAAGAGCGATGGATTCGTAATCTGGTGAACCGGGTTTGCTTCCCCGCTCCTCCACATGCAGCTGCTGGGTGACCTTGGGCTAGTCACACTTCTCTGAAGTCTCTCAGCCTCACTCACCTCACAGAGTATTTGTTGTGGGAGAGGAAGGGAAAGGAGATTGTTAGCCGGTTTGAAACTCCTTAAGGGGAGTGAAAGGTGGGATATTAAGTCCAAACTACTACTACTACTCTTCTTCTTCTTCTTCTAATTCCCAACTCACATTACACCTTTTTATCACCTCTCATTTTTGTAATTTGAAAGTTGGAAAAGTCAACATTCACTACTATGATAGGGCCTCTTCAGTGGTAGCTCCCTGGTTGTGAAATGCCCTCCTACACGAGGTGCGTCTGTCTGTCTCCATCTTTATGCACTTTCAGGAAGAATTTGAAAGCATTCTGGTTTAACCAGGCATTGGTGGCAACCCCAAGATGGAAGTATGTTTTAACTGTAATTGCTTTTAGTTGTTTTTAATTGTATTTGTTTCTAGAATCTTTTAATCTGTTTTAGAATCTTATTGTTTTTACATTGTTTGCTGCCCCGGACTCCTTGTGAAGGAAGGGATATAAATTCAATAAATAAACAAATTCAGTAAATAAAGAACTTGCAGAGCCAAATTTTGAAATGCGAACGTCAAAGCATGGCTGCTTTATTTCGTGTATTGTTTTGGGACGGGCAAATCACCTTTAAATGTGAACGGAACCAAATTTCTCCTCGTCCCTTCTTTACAGATGTTATGGATTACAACTCCCATCATTCACTGGAAGTGTTGGGTATGGCTGATGGGAGTTGTAGTTGTAGTCCACAACATCTGGAGGTCACCACATTATTTACCCCAGATTTAAGACCAGATTCAATGCTTGTAATATTCCCCTGATACGTCTCTAAATCTAGGAATCAAGCTGTTTCAATGTACTTTTTCTGTAGCCCCAAAGCGTTGCCTAGAACAAAGCCAAACAATTTCTTTGCCGCAAGGATGTCTTCCATTCTTCCAGATTCTCTCTCCTCTGCTCCCACCTGTACACACTTTCTGAGCCTATTTTTTCGGTACAGCTGCCAAAAGGTTCAGCTCAGCATGCCACTAAAAATGCAGACTTCTGAATTCCAAACTTTCGCTTGAAGAATAATTTATGTTTGAGTGGTGGAAAGTACATTTTCCCTCTGCCAATGGAGACAAAAAGAATATCTTTGCAAAAATACATTGGGAGCGCAAGAGAGCCTGCAAGTCCTGCGCCTGTTGTTATTTTCATAGGACAGGAATCTTGGCCCTGGGCTAGTTTAACAATGTGAATACAATGACATGGGGCTATTTTCTGGAAATCCAGCGAGCTCATTCAGGGCATCAGATTCCCAATCTCACCCGGGTTTCCCAATCCACCTGTCGCGCAAATGAGGGTGTGTCAGTCCTATGTGCATGGTCTGCATTAGGACTTCAGACACTATCCAAATTGCCCCTGCCATTGTACAGTGAATTATTTCAGAAGCTCTTGTGTAAAGACCAGACTGGTTGGCTGCTAACTCTCCACTGTTTAGTGGTGATTAGAGCATCTAACTACTACACACTAGAGAAGGGTCTTAGCTCAGTGGTAGAGTATCTGCCTTGCAAGCAGAAGGCCCAGTTCCCAGCAGCATATCCAAGTAGGGTTGGGGGTGATTCCCTGCCTGAAATCTTGGGAGAGCCACCGCCAGTCAATACTGAGCTGAATAGACCAAAGGTCTAACTCCGTTATAAGGCAACCTCCTATGTTTCTAGTGTTGGACTACAACATGGAAGACAATGGTTTGAATCTCCAATTGGCCACTAGGTGACCTTGGGCCAGTCACTGCCTCTCAGCCTAGTCTACCTAACAGGGTTGTTGTGGGGATTCAATGAGAAGAACCATGTATGCCACCTTGAGCTCCCTGGAGAGAAAGGTGGGATATAAAAGCAGTCAATCAATTTTGGTATTCTCCCTGCCTATGCAGAAAATCCAGTGAGAATTAGGAAGAGAGCCTGGGCTTCATCGACAAACCTCAGGCTTGTCAAGAATTTATTGATATGTATAGAATGATTTCACAAAGTTAAGTTAAACTAAGCTAAGCAGATATATAAGATTGAATGTTTCATTATTAAAATACAAAATTACAATCTCAATAATAAAGTTACAAAATAATAACAAGGAAGTCACGCACGGGTGGAGGGAAGACACAGGGCAAGAAATAAGAAATGGATAAATGCTGGTACATAATAAAATGTGAAAATGTGAATTTACGAATATAATGTATATGTATCAATATGTAAAGATTTCATATTGCAACATTAATAATAAATAAATAAAGTGCAAAAATTAGAAAAAGAAAAAGAAAAAGGCAAAGCTCAGGCTTAACTCCCAGTCATTGAAATAGGATTCCCCAATAGATGGCACCCAGAGAAGGAATAAATAATATTTAAGAGATAACATGCTGCATAATCTTCAGAACTCTCTCCCACAGGAGGCAGCGATGGCCACCAGCTTTAAAAGAGGAGTGGACAAATTCATGGAGGGGAGGGCTAACACTGGCTACCAGCCACAGTGGGCATCCTCTGCCTTCATAGTTGGAGGCAGTGGTGCTCCTGAATCCCAGCTTCTGGAAACCACAGGAAGGGAGGGTGCTCTTGTGCTCAGATAAAGCTTGTGGGCTTCCCATTGGGGCACCTGATCGGCCATTGGGAGAACAGGATGCTGGCCTGATGCAAAAGGCTCTTCTTAACTGGTATTAAGAAACCAAATTCAGGGATGGCCATCCAAACTAACAGGAGTGCAAATGGGAGAATGAGGACCTTGCTGGTGTCTGACGTCAGCCTGGTTCTCTGGCTGATGAGGAATAAAAGTGGAAACAACGGGGAAGGGAAAAGGAAAAACACACACACACGCAAAGGGGGAGGGGGTGGAATCAGAAGTCAGAATCTTAAACAGGAAAAGCCCGGCGTCAGGACTGGCTGGCGATAACAGGGAACTCCGCCGAATACACAAACAAACAGGGTTTCAGCAGAGGCGACCTGGCAAAAGCAGCCCTTGCACGGATGCAACCAAGAACACAGAACATCGGAAGCTTATACAGAATCAGACCATTGGTCCATCCAGCTCACTATTGTCTACACTGACTGGCAGCGGCTTTCCAGAGTCTTCAGCAGGATTCTCTCCCAGTCTTAACTGAGACGCCCTTCAAGTGGAGCTGAATGGAGGCAACCCTTCTGAATTCCATGGGACTTCTGAGTTGACATGGTTCGGATTGCAGCCATCATGCCCATGCCACTGAGTTTAAAAGGGGGGTTGGGATGTGGTTATGTGTTTGGCATCCCCAGCTCCAACCGAAGACTATTCTCCCATCCATCCAGGAAAAAGTTAAATGTTTCTGCCCAGCTAAAATTTCAACAAATACTGAAAGCTTCCTTGCTTCACTGCCCGACATCACTGCAACATCCATGCTGTAATCAAAAGCACATTTTTATTTTATTTTTTGCAATTGTGAGGACATTTTGCCAAACCAACAAAAAGCATCAAACTCTACCAACTCGTCCAAAAATACCCGACGTGTAATTTATGCAAAATCAGCAAAACTCATCTTTTACCCATCCACACACACACCCCCACCGGCCACTTCAAAGTGGGGGCCTTGAAGAAGGGCAAATGTGAAAAGTTCAGAAGGGGAGGCAAAGTCTGTTCTGCAAAGTCCCGTTTCTGAGAGTGAAACAGACAAGCATAACCCATTGCCATTTCTGACTACAGGTGAGCATATTCTAAGGAAACAAACAAACAAACAAAAATAATTTGCCTCTTTCCCACTGGGAAAAGTAGATTAACTATTTTGGCCGTTGCAGCAAATTAAACCAAGATTCAAAGTTGGGAGGATGCATGAAGCCAGATTCACACTTGCACATGAGTAACTATGATCTGGGAGATGTGTACTCAGCCATGAAGCTCACTGGGTGACCTTGGGCCAGTCTCTGTCTCTTAGCCTAACCTACCCCACAGGGGTGTTGTAGAGATTAAATGGGGAGAGCCATGTACACTATCTTGAGCACCTTAGAGGGAAAGGTGAGATATAAATGAAACAAATAAATCAACAAATATTGGCAAGTATCCAAAGAAAGGATGCGAAGAGGGAATGGCACACACAGCTGGGTCTGGATTTTGCTGTACAATACTAATTCCTCCGGGATGCGGGTGGCACTGTGGGTTAAACCACGGAGCCTAGGACTTGCTGATCAGAAGGTCGGCAGTTCGGATCCCCACGATGGGGTGAGCTCCCGTTGCTCGGTCCCTGCTCCTGCCAACCTAGCAGTTCGAAAGCACCTCAAAGTGCAAGTAGATAAATAGGTACCGCCCCGGTGGGAAGGTAAACGGTGTTTCTGTGTGCTGCTCTGGTTCACCAGAAGCGGCTTAGTCATGCTGGCCACATGACCTGGAAGCTGTATGCCGGCTCCCTTGGCCAATAAAGTGAGATGAGCGCCACAACCCCAGAGTCGGTCACAACTGGACCTAATGGTCAGGGGTCCCTTTACCCTTTACCTTTACTAATTCCTCCAGCCAAGGAGGCAAGCCTCTTTACAAACTGAGCATTGCCTTGCCTCTTCTTCCACGGCAAACTCTGTTGCAGAGAAATCAAAAGGCCACGAGCACATTCATCCTTTGGAGCTCAGCCGCAGGCTACGATAAAACACCAATCCTGTCAAAATAATGAGAATTTACTCAGGATCGCGCCCAAGGAGTCCTATGGCACCTTAAGGATGAATATAGTTCAGGGGTTGCCAAGAAGGGACCATGTGGCAGAAGTCCAGCCCCCATCGGCCCCAGCCTGCCTGGCCAGTGCACAGGAATGAGGGGGGCTATCTTCCAATGTGGTGGGCACCACGTTGACTATGTGGCTGTGCACCTGTTTCCAATCCTTACACACCAGAGTCTGCTTCATCGAATGGAAATGCAATTGCCACTGGATTTGGTTACCCCAGCCCAGACCCCTAAGCATGCTCCAAAGCATGCATGGTGGTTTTGAAGAACATCAGCTATTCTGCTCAGTTTCAGCATAGGCAACATATCCTTGCGCATGGGCCCATGCCCTTCTCTTTCCTCTGGTTGGTGGGGTTTGCTGCGTACACTCATCAGAACTCCTTCACACGCACAGTTTGGGGCACTGTTTCCTTTTGAGCAATTTCCTGGGGCTCGTGTTTTCTTTCCTCCCCCTGCCCCCGCTGCAGCTGACTTAGCAGCTGGAATGAACAGGGACCAAACTATGCATCTGCAGCAGATGCCATAAAACAGATCAACCAAGAGCCCATGGGCAGGTATTCTGGAACACCCAACTTTCTACTCTTCTGCAGTCAGGTCTTGCTTGTATGCTTCCTATCTGGCTGGCTCCACTGTGAAGGGCAGGAAGCTGGACTAAATGGGCCTCTGGTCTGATCCAGCAGCCAGGTTCTTCTTATGGACTAGAGCAACTCCCAGAGGGAACACTGCTTTAGGACACAGGAAACTGACCTATGATGAGTCCATCTAGCTCAGGATTACTGCTGTATGCCAGTTCCTGGGAATCATCATAGGGGGAAGAGCACTGTTGCACTGTGGTCCTTCTTTTGGGCTTCTCATTACGGCATGTGGTTGGCCACTGCAAACAGGATGCCGGACTAGATGGGCCCCCTTTGGGATGGACCCCCTCTAGCAGGCCTCTTCTTATATTGACACGATCCTTGCTGAGCTCCAAAACAGCAAACGAGAAAATGTTTGGGATCTCCACGGCCAAGAGTCCCGCCTTTCCCAGCCTGAAGAAGAACATTTTTAATTAGAAGTTCCAGCATTTGGTTTTAATTCAGCCCAGTGAACAGGATGGTTTATTTCCACACACAGCATATTTTCATAGACTCATGAAACACTGTGCCACTAGGAGGTCGTTACGGGCTGTGATTACAGCTTTTTACATTAAGTAATTACGGCGGGAGGAGCAAAACGTTGACTTGATCTGCTTCAGGAGAATGGATCTATCATCCGTGTGCAGTTAATTAAGCATTCCTGGCACAAGTCAATTAGTGAGCAGATGAAACAAAACAACAACACCAATAATATATGCAGTAGTAGCCTTTGCTTTGGGCATATTGAGCGCAAGAAATACGCATTCTGCTGATGTTACAGACAGAACAGAAGTTAATGCGGAAAGCCTTTTAATGGCATGCCTAGTGGATAGGACGACGGGCAGTTTTGCATATTAGGTAGGGGGCAAAAAAACCCTGTTTGCTTCCAGTGATACATCCAATGCCACGGAGCAGCCAGTGAAGGATATCTCTGTAAAAGTTCTACTGTCAGAGACAGGATGCCCCTGAATATCAGTAGCTGAGAACCATTAGCGGGTGGAGGCCTGTTGTATTAAAATCTTGCTCGTGGGCTTCATATTAGGGCATCTGGTTGGTCGCTGTGAGTACAGGATGCTGGACTAGATGGCCTGATCCAGTAGGGCTCTTCTTATGGTCTTGTGGAATACAACAACACGCATGATTAGGAGGGAGAAAAACCCTCCTCTTTACTGTTTTTCATTTCCCGATGCCATCAGATGTTTGGGGCCATAAAGCCCACTAGCTGTGGCTCTCATGGCCAATGGTCAAGATGATGAGAGTTGTTGTCCCAAA